TTTTCCATGGAAGGTGACAGATGAATAGCCCCTTCCTCAGCAGATGGGAAATTTGTGGACAGAAATCTGAGAATCAAAGGAAGCCCCCTCAACATAATCCAAAGGTGGAGTAAGTAATGGAGTTGAGGATCATTGTCTACTCTATGTGGTAGGTGCAGAGAAATGGGAAGCACCAGTGAAGGATACCTTGAGTTTAGCAAAGCATTTGATGTGGTCTCCCACAGTATTCTTGCCAGCAAGTTAAGGAAGTATTGATTGTATAAATGGACTATAAGGTGGCTGGAAACCTGGCTAGATTGTCGGGCCCAACGGGTAGCAATCAACAGCTCGATGTCTGGTTGGCGGTTGGGTTGAAGCGGATTGCCCGAAGGGTCTGTTTTAGGGCCCATTTTGTTCAACATCTTTTTAATGACCTGGATGAGGGGATGGATTGCACCTTCAGCAAATTTGCAGATGACACTAAGCTAGAGGGAGAGGGAGATGTGTTTGAGGGAAGGAATAGGTTCCAGAGTGACCTAGACAAATTGGAGGATTGGGCCAAAAGAAATCTGAGGAGGTTCAACAAGGACAAGTGCAGAGGGGGCTGACTCGGTAAGTAGCAGTTCAGCAGAAAAGGACCTGGGGATTGCAGTGGATGAGAAGTTGGACATGAGTCAACAGTGTGCCCTTGTAGCCAAGAAGGCTAATGGCATAATAAAGTGCCTTAGGAGGAGCATTTCCAGCAGATCCAGAGAAGTGATTATTCCCCTTTATTTGGCACTGGTAAGGCCACATCTGGAGTATTACATCCAGTTCTGGGCTCCCCACTATAGAAAGGATGTGGGCGCATTGGAGAGGGTCCAGTGGAGGGCAACCAAAATGATGAAGGGGCTGGAGCACATGACCTATGAGGAGCAGCTCAGGAATTTGGGCTTGATTAGTCTGCAGAAGAGAAGAGTGAGAGGGGATTTGGTAGCAGCCTTCAACTTCTTGAAGGGGGGTTCCAAAGAGGCAGGAGAGAGGCTGTTCAGTGGTGGCAGAACAAGGAGCAATGGTCTCAAGCTGCAGTGGGGGAGGTCTAGGTTGGCTATTAGGAAAAACTATTTCCCATGGAGGGTGGTGAAGTAATGGAATGGGTTTCCTAGTGAGGGGGTGGAATCATATGGTATATCTGGCAGCTGATGTACGTTAAGGCTACACACAAAGACAGAATGCAGTAGGAAGCACCCAAAATTTGAGTTTGCTCACCCAAACCCACTGAACCTTAGCTTCCAGCAGTGATCATTCTACACAACACTCCCAGCACCTTGGGACTAGAACAAAAGTGCTACCAGAATGAGGACTGGGAAGCCTAGAGGATTGCTGTAGACAGTAAGTCTGAGCTATTTCTTCCACACAGTAAATAACCCTTATTCAGAAAGGGCCATCCAGATCTCTCTGCCTAAAAGGCAAAGGGCCAGGTGTAACAGGACTCCAGTACCCTTCCTGATACTACCCCTACTGAAACCTGGAATGGAATTATTTGGAAGGTGTGGAGGGTGTTGGGAAGATATTCACAATGGCTTGTTTTGTTGTTCCCAATTATGACAAAACATTTAGTCTGGCTGAGAAAATTGGCAAGAAAGGCTGTTAACTTACGCTGAGGGGGCTGAGAATCAAATGGCATCATCATTTTTGGCCTCATCCCTCTTCTTCCTGCCAACGTGGACATGCTATCCTCAGACTCATGCCCTGAAGAAAGAATACTGAGGGTTACTTACTACATCACTGATTCCTTCAGGACAACACACAACCGGGTGGCTACAAACAACTTTTTAATTCTCTGTGTATAGTATGGTTTTCCCCCTTCATAATAGTTCTGCAGTTCATGACCAGCAAGCAAACAAGACTAACAGACTAAATCTAGTTCTTTCAAAGTGGCTAGTTGGCTTATAGACACTATTATGAACTAGCCAATTAGCCCGTCATAAGACAGGAGTTTCAGGTCTCTCCTCCACGTCTGTCTTCTCTCCTGAGCCTCTGGTCTCTCACTCAGTCTCTCTCTCTCTCTCTCTCTGCTCCTCCTACCGCCTCTCCCCTCCAGCTCTTCGCCACCTCCTGCCTCTCTTTCTCTTCTCCTCCCCGTCCTGTCTCTGACTTGGGGGGACTGCGGAGCCCAAACGGCTGTTTGGGCTCCACACTCCCCGGGCTGCAGGGGGAGCGCGGAGCCCAAACGGTCGCTTGCGCTACTTGCTCCCACGCGGCAGCCCGGCTGAGCAGCGCAGAAGTCAGCCAAGCGCCATGGCAGGAGGCGAAAGGAGGCCAGGCGGTGTCGGTCACAGCCAGGGGGCGGAGCCTGGAGCTGCTGTCACGCCGCATATCACCGCCCCACCCCCTTTCACCTCCTGCCATGGCGCTTGGCTGACTTCTGCACCCCTCAGCCAGCCGCCATGGGGGGGCAGGTGTCCGTTTGGGCCCCATGCTCCCCATGTAGCATGGGGACCGCGGGGCCCAAACAGCCGCTTGCTCCCCCGCGGCAGCCCAGCTGAGCGGCACAGAAGTCAGCCGAGCACCACAGTGGGAGGTGAAGGACGTGACTCAGGCAACAGCGCTGCCCAGAGGAAACAGCCAGCATTTCAGCATTACAGAGTCTCAGACATTGGGCTACTATATATATGATAGGAGAAACAGTCCAGACTTCAATAAAACTAACATCCCATAGAAATGCAGATTCTTGAGATAAATGGTAGTATGAGTTAAGTGCAGTCATGTAGAAATAGCAGTAATCATCACTTTCCTCCACAGGTTAGTAGGAGAGGCTTGTTATACTACCTTGCACACAAGATTACTAATTATACCGAGGCACCATTATTATGATACATCAAAGAACAACTCCAAAATTAGTTGTTGTGCACTCTATTGTCCCACTGATACCCCTGAAGATGAATCCCCTACATTTGAATGGAACAGAACCCTGAAACCTAGGCACAAAACCCAGTCTAATAAATAAGAAAAGTAACAATTTAATAAAAATGTTATTATAATCTGAACAACATTTCAACAAAACTAGAGGCTCCAATGCTTTTACTAGATACAGTGGTTATAAGGAATCTGATTTTACACAATTAAATACCAAGACCCAACTAGCTTATTGTTAGCCAAGCTTACCCCTGTATGAGTTGCGCCTTTGATGGATATTGCTATCCATGGAATTGTCAACTGGTGTGATGTCCTGGGAGTTTCGAGGGATTGGGGTGTCTGTCATGATTGGGTTGGGGTCTGGAGATTTATCAATGGGCTTCAACTCCAATCTCTCATGATGAATCCAAAGGTCAGGAGGTTTGACATCCTTAGAATTTCCTTTGTATTTATGGGATCCATTCACTGATTTGCAGGCAGCTCGTTTCCTTGCAAAACAAGAAAATAAATGAAACATTCTAGATAAATATTTTGTCACTCAGACAGGCAAGTTTATTTGAATTTCTTTCAGATCTACCCAGCTATGTGGCAGCTACTTACCAGGCAAGAAGTGGTGGGGTTTTTTTTTTGGTTTGTTTGTTTTAAACAGAGGTACATGCTATGCAGCCAGAATTTGAAATAATCTTTCTTAAACATGGGAGACCAGAATTGCACAAAATACTATATATGTGGTCTCACCAGTGCCTTGTTTTAGTGGTAATCATAGAATCAGAATACTAGGACTGGAAGGGATCTCAAGAGGTCATCGAGTCCAGTCCCCTGCCCCCATGGCAGGACCAAATGCTGTCTAGACCATCCCTGATAGACCGTTATCTAACCTACTCTTAAATATCTCCACGGATGGAGATTCCACAACCTCCCTGGGCAATTTATTCCAGTGTTTGACTACCCTGACAGTTAGGAACTTTTTCCTAATGTCCAACCTAAACCTCCCTGGCTGCAGTTTAAGCCCATTGCTTCTTGTTCTAGCCTCAGAGGCCAAGATGAACAAGTTTTCTCCCTCCTCCTTATGACACCCTTTTAGATACCTGAAAACGGCTCTCATGTCCCCCCTCAATCTGCTCTTTTCTAAACTAAACAAAACGCAGTTCTTTCAGCCTTCCCTCATAGGTCATGTTCTCTAGACCTTTAATCATTCTCGTTGCTTTTCTATGGACCCTCTCCAATTTCTCCACATCTTTCTTGAAATGCGGTGCCCAGAACTGAACACAATACTCCAACTGAGGCCTAACCAGTGCAGAGTAGAG